TTTCCCGGAGAAGAGCCGAGAGGGGAAACTATCCAGGACTACCTGTTTTGGTGTATCCACGCCAAGGTCCTCTGGAACTAAAAAACTAAAATCTCCAAGATCACGAGTGTTTAGAATGGGAGCTGGGCCTGGGCTGCTAAAGGATGAACTGCTGCTCCTGCCCGGCTCCGAAGAGGCTTCGTCTGACAACGTTGACTCGGGACCTGGTGGAGGAGAAGGAATTCTTTCACACACACATACAGGTTTTGGGCCGAGGGCGACACCGTACTTCCGGTATCCACCATTTCACACGAGGTGCAAGCAGAATATCATAGTCTATTGCCTTAATCAATATCTAGTCAACTCTAAAATACCACATATATGCAATGGCATGATAATATTATTGTGACAAGTGGGGTATTCACCTGGTGTTTGCAGAAGATAGACGTAGATACTGCCAAAATCGACCGAAGGCCACTTTCGAGGGTCGTTTTTCCATACATCTGCAGGCAGTCTGTAAGGGCAATCGGACAACCCACACAGCTCTAGTTTACGCTGGTAACGACCTAGAGCACACCCCTCAAGTCCAGAGATGTAATCCGAAGACATGCAGCGATTTCTTCGGTCGTTAATTCAGAAAAAAAAACCTAGTGCGCTCTGCCTGGCTACATTACCTAGCTGTTTATATTAGCACCTCCAGGATATTAGCACCTCCAGGAAAATGGCGTATATATATATATATATGGCACGCGTTGCATTGTGGGTAGCTCGTGACGTCACTGTGTGTGAAAGAATAGGTGGCGGGGGACACGTCAAGTTGCCAGCATCTGGTGCTGAGTTGCCACAATCCTTTTGTGAGCTCTTATTGTTCGTGAACCACTTCCTAATATCCATTGTTGCCGATACATATAAAAAAGGATAATAGCCTAGCCAAACTAACCGCCACAGTAAACTGACAGGCTGCTGTGACGCGTCTCACTTTAAAAAAAAACACACACAACTCAACCCCGCGAAAAACCAACCGCGCACAGAGATTCATTCAGAATTTCATAGCAAAATAAAATAATTATATTATACTAATGTTTCAACATAGTTTAATACAAAAATAAATGGTATGACAAAGCCCTACAAATAACAACAATAAACATAATAATACAAACATTTAAAAAATATTTTTATATAATAATTTTTTTTAATCAGCCCTGATTTCTCATGGGCGGGCCCGGCCCCATGGGGCCCGCCCATGACGCTGGGCCTGCAAACATTTGAGCCTCCTGAACTTCGTTTTCAGTAGGCCAAAGGTATGCTCAATGACCACGTGTGCAACATTTAATTTCTGATTGAAACGACGCTGCCGAGCAGTTAATGGCCATTGTCCCTGTATGGCCTCTTAAGCTGAGGCAATAGTGGGTAGGCAGAGTCCCCAATGATGTGCATTCCCTCAGGCACCAGGGACTGGGGATCTTCATCAAGCAGCCTTCCAACAGCAGACAACCGGAATGCCCGTGCATCATGCCAGCTACCAGGGTGGCCCACATTAACATGACAGAATCGCCGCTCACTGTCACAGAACCCAGTAAGCACAACAGAATAAAACTGTTTTCTGTTGATATATGCTACTGGGTTCTCACAGTGTGTTTTCACAATAGGAATGTGGCATCCATCTACCGCACAGACAGTGTTGGGAAATCCTGCTGCACGAAATCCTAACTCAGAATTATGTAGGGCTTGCCCTGTGGGCCAGGAAATGTGGTGAGACAAATACGTAGTGACAAGACTACAGAATTCATGGAGATGCAGGCAGACAGTGGATTTGGTGATATTAAAACGATCAGCAACCCCCCTATAGGACTCCTGGTTTGATAGAGTCCACAGACAGGCAAGGACACTGTTTTGAAGCGCCACTTTACTGTATTGTCTGTTCCAGTAGAACGGGCCAATAGTCGTCATCACATCCTGTTTGGTAGAAAGGAATAAATGGCTTTTAATATCACCAGTCCAGATAATACACATTTGATGTTATTGAAATATATATATATTAGGGCTGTCAGTCGATTAAAATATTTAATCGCGATTAATCGCATGATTGTCCATAGTTAATCGCGATTAATCGCAAATTAATCGCACATTTTTTATCTGTTCTAAATGTACCTTAGAGGAATATTTTTCAAGTTTTAATACTCTTATCAACATATGAGTGGACAAATATGCTTTATGCTAATGTTTATTATCATTTTAACAATGACAAATATTCTCATGAATATTAAACATAACAACCTCTGAACATTACAAATATTCGCCTCAATTCAACCTGGAACCTCTCTCATACACTAATACAATACAAATGGTGTGTGTGTGTTTGTGTGTGTGTGTGCTTACGCGCGCGTGTGTGTGTGTGTGTGTGTGTGATGGATCGTTGGAGCTATCCTATGTGCAACTCAAGGCATATGCTCGAACGGGAGCTGCCTGGACGCTGCAATCATGTTGCGCGCACTATCCGTGCTGAGTGTGCTGACTTTTCGTACAATGTCCCACTGTCTGGCTTCCTGCATAAAGTCAAGTGCTCGGCGCAGTTGTGGCGAAATGTCGCTCCTCTGTTTTCATTTAAACAGCTCCTTATATCCGTTAGCGCAGCTAGCTAGCACCAGATGCTAACAACAACAATGCACGTAAGGTCTCTCTCTCGCTCGCTCGGGCCACACATACACACACCCTCCCGGTCCTCCCGATGGCCAGTCGGTGCCTGCCGGTGAGCGTGGAAGTGTGGTCTGCCACAAGCGGGCGGCAGGAGCGGGGCTGTCAGCATCAGCTTGTAGATGGTATTTTAAACTCGCTGCGCTCTGAAACTACGGGGCGGCCGAGGAAAAAAAATACACATGTGTTAATCGCGTTAAAATAATTAGTGGCGTTAATTTTTTTTTGCGTTATTAACGCGTTAACTTGACAGCCCTAATATATATATATATATATAATCGGAAATGACTTTTGAAGTCTGAAGGACTGTACTGTGGGACCACTTCTTCCACAATTTGTTGGACCTTTGGAACGGATCTAAGGAAGGCAGACACAGGAGCAAATGATGTGCATAAATCATTAGACCTATTCAACATTCTTTAGTGTTTTGCAGTTGTTGCCATAACTGCTGCTGCTGTAGGCCTATATTATCTTCACTTGATTTCAGTTTTATTCTTGTTTATTTATTGTATCTTTGTACTACTATCTTGCTTGCTTTCTATATCTTTAGTAAAGTAGCTTTTATCTTATCCCATTAGGACTAAAAAATACTAATAGTGTCATAATTTTGCACAATTTGTGATCTGTAGAGTAAAGTAATCAGTCCGGATAATCGATCATAATTTTTAATTTAGACTGATGCAGCCAGTAGTAGGCCTAGATACATGTAGTAGCGTACAATGTATTTTGTCTTTTTACTTGTGTATTGTATTGTGTATCTGTTTTTGTTACCTGCCTAGGTAGCCTACTACAGATGTAAATTAGCATGTTTGCTCAAACACATTTATACTTGATGTTCATTAACATGCTCTGTCCCTATCAAATAAAAAAATAAAAAGATACGTAATTACCTCTGCAGACGGTGTTCATCATGCCCTTCTCCATACAATACATGTGGGATTTCTATTGCATCCACTTCATCTGCAACGAAAAACGCCTACGCAATTTCCGCTATTGCAAACCCAGCCAGTCAAGCCGACTCCGAGTCCGAGCTGTCCGACTTAAAGGTCACATGTCATGGCCATTTCCACTGATCATAATTCCATTGTTGATGTCTACTAGAATAGATTTATACTGTGCAATTTTCCAAACTCACATTGTTTCGCATACAGCATCTCTGTAAACTATGTGTATTCACTCTCTCCACTAAACGGCTCGTTGCAGCTCTTGCCCCCCCTCCCTGTGAGCCCAGTGTGCTCCGATTGGTCAGCTCGGCCCCTCTGTTCTGATTTGTCAACCACCACAGAGGCTCTGCCCCTGTTGACATCTGCCGTAAAGTGGTTTAGCGGGTACTTAGCCCACTTAGCCCATGGTGTTTTTTCGGCTCTGAGCGGAGTAGCAGAAATGAAATCGCGTCAGTAAAGCCATATATGTACGAACCGGAGTCCGACCCTGAGAGTGAAACGGACCATGATGGACCTGATCCACCGTCCCAAACAAGAATACAGCAGGCGGTTTCACAGTGGAACGTTTTAATTTTGTATAGCTGCTACATTTCAGATGTAATGTTAGAACTTCATCATTTATTTACATCACAGTAACAAGTGTGTCCGCTGACTAACCAAACTTTCCAACTGTTGTTATTTAGGTGCACGTGTGGAAACTGCGCAGTAATGCCTACCGAGGTGGAAAACCTCTGTTGCAGGGAGATTAGAAAGGTGACAGTGTAGTGCCGATGAAAGGGAGTCGGGGGCGGTGAGTTTAGAATCAGGTAAAATACATGTCTGCTCTGTCTGACAAGCTAGGAATGACACGCTAAACCTAAGAGCACACACTAAAGGGTCCGTGTGGCAACACTATACCAAAGGTGAATTATGGTCCAAACAGGGTGTCACCACAACAAATACAAAAACACCAACAGTAGCACACAACATTATATACACCATACATACTTGTCATGTCAATAGACTATATGCCCTTTTATTTATTCTATAGTAATTGAATGTTTATTTTGTAAACCTCGCCATAGTTGGATTTAATTGCTAAACGTATTATGTTACAAATATCTTATCCTCCTATAGGTTTTAACACGAATGCACCAAGTCCCAGAACCCATTGTGTGCATGGTTGACCACCCCGGACTAGAACCAAACTGCCTCAATCCCTACACCCTGCAAAACCTCCACAATATTTATCGGTTTGATTATGGACCTTTGAGGCGTAGAACTGAAGAAGAGTAAGTTATCTTTAGCTATAATAAACTACTACTGTATTAGATGAAAAATCAAATTATGGTTTGCTATATATGAATGATCTAGGAGCAAATAATTCAGGGAAGAAAGGCTATCAAGTAGTTCCATCAAACTTTATTTTGATAAATGTACAAATTGATCATGTGTATATATACACTGTATGAGATAAGATGGACCTTTATTAATCCCTGTGGGGAAATTCAGTTGTTCAAGCAGCCAGAGGGTAAGGGTGAAAAACAGGACAGCACATATATGTTATCATCCATTCCTCCTCTTATAGGCGTTTTAGGCATCTGGCCTATCGCAGCTTCGTAAGCTGGTGCTGGGGCTTTTTGGGACGAGGAATCAGAGTGGTCATCCTGTCGTGTGTGGTCCGCCGGATACGCCAGGAGTTCCCTGATCTGGCTGGACAGTAAGTGGGCTTCCGACCGCCCCTAGACTAAAACGTGAGACATGGCGGGCTACCACTTCCTCCTTTGAGGGCCTGTCAAATTGAGTGGACAGGTCCTTTGGGATGTTGATTTTATTCATCTCCTCCACAAAGGGTGTTGGGTCCTCAAAGACTTCTTCAAACACCAGCCTCATCAGCTCACCCACGTACACTGAAAAATATAACATTCATATAATAATTAATTATTTGTATACACTTATTCATTACTCTTTTATTCTTTCATTGTACAGATAATTCAGTGTTCAGCATCCAGCACGCCTAAAATTACACCCAGAAAGAGAATCCCACCTGAACAAGCTGGAAGTCCACAATGGTGTTGCTTCCCAGGTGCATTAGTGTGTAGCTCCCAAACTTAGCTGAGTGGCCTGAAGAAAATATAATACAGGAGGTTTCAAGACTTTTTAACAGAATTTCAATGGATAAGTTTGATGAATTGTAATATACACCAGTAACTCTGGCACTAGACTGTCTTGTCTGTTTCTGCTTACCTGGAGAGTCTGCTCTCATATCTCCTGCAACTGTGACCTTTCCCCCCTGGTGGTGTAGTTGCTAGAAAATCTTCAGCTGATCAGTTTTCCACTTGTGGATAATAGCAGGCTCCAGATAATGCCTAGCATGCCTCCTGAAGGTCTCATACTGGAAGATCTCCAGCTGCATGGCTCTGCATATCTATGAATAAATAGAAAAACAGGACAAGTATTTGAAAAAGTCCACTTCTGTCATTTTTCATATGCTATGGATGTAAGATGGTAAAATACCTTTTTTAGTTGGAAGAAGGAAGCACCAGTGAAGTATGTAGCAGCAGATAATTGTAAGTTGCCAACCGGCGTACTTCCAATGATGGGCTGTCTCTCCCATTGTCTGAAGTAAGTGCAGTTTGGACAACGCTGTTTGGACGCCACAAAAGTCCCATTTTTCGTTTTTGGACATCACAGTCTGTCTTACAAAACGGACATTTTTCAAACAGCTGTCCGAGGCAGCTTTCAAACACAATGTACTTTGCGTCACTGTGCGTGGATCGTGTCTGAAGTCTAATGTAACAAAACAAAATTAACAATACATGTTAGATGTCAACTCTGAACAACAGTAATAGTAATGTGTACCAAATATACCAAACTTACGATACGTCAGATCCTTCTACAGTATCATCAGGGTGGTAACTCGAATCCAGAGTCTCTTCAAATTCAATCGAAGTCTCTCCTTGTTCCTGCTCCTACTCTAGTCGAGGTCTCTTGCTAGGTCCCAATCCTGGGCCCTTTATTGGTGTAGAGGACAAGGGGATTTCTGTGTAGGTGGAAGTTTTAGTGCCAACACTTTTGAAAGACACCGTGGCCTGGATGCCTGTTAATAAAAAGGGAAAAGTGCATAAATACTAAGTACATTAGATAAGACACTAATACATTGTAAAAGGCCAACAACTTGTGTACATCTGACAGATTAATTCATGAAAAATGTACAAACTACAAACAGCACTGTATTTCTTGTAGTCAACATAACAGTATTTCTGTGATATACAATAATATCAAATAAGGTTTTATTTATAGAGCACATTTAAAAAAGATGTTTGGTCGAGCCCAAGTGCTGTACATGTAATAAAAGCACAATTAAGGTAATGTATCTGTGATTTGTCAGTGTTATAGTCTACCTTTGCTTCTCACGTGTGCCGATTTCAGTGTTCCCCGGGCCAACTGTGTAGCAACAGAAATGGCGGACACTTTACATTCCACTGTCTGTGTTCCCACAGACCGTGTCTCAACCAGTGTTGTGCTAGTTACTGAAAACCAGTAACTAGTTACCATTACTAGTTACTTCATGTCAAAAGTAACTCAGTTACATTACTAGTTACTTACACCCAAAAGTAATGCGTTACTGTGAAAAGTAACGTTTTCGTTACTTGAAAAAAGGGCTAGCATTAATGCCCTTATAGCCTTCATTTCAGTACTGTTATTGCATTGGAGAATAATACAATCTGTTGATCAACTTGACATGCATTATATGCAATCTGGATTGCATCGATATTAGCTGGCTTTCCATTTTTGTATATTCTTTCTCCAGGTAGTTGGAAAAAGTTTTCCGTCCCATATGCCGTGTGCCGCCCGGACATGCTATCATGCTAACTAGCTCCCTGAAAGCGGGTGACTCCACTGTAGCAATACCCTGCATGTGTTCTACAACATACCGTGCAATGGCTTTATCGACTTTTCCCTGGCTAGCAGTCCCTTGGTTAAAATCCAGCCGCTGTTGCTTAGGTGGAGGTGGAGTGGCGTCGGCTGAGTCTCTGTGGTCTTAGCTACTAGCTTCGTCCCAGCATGTTGTTTTTGCAGATGTTTTAAGATATTTGAATTACTGGTTTGGGCAGTACGTAGATAGGATCTCTGACCCGCCAAGACACAACTTACATTTAACTAAAACGTTCTTTTCTTTGTGCTCGACAAAAGTGAAATAGTGAGAATATCTCCAGGTGGAGAAATAGTCTTGTTAGTAAACAACACAAACACGCCCACAGCCCGTCTCCGCATGTGACACAGGAAGTATCAAAGTACATTTACTCAAGTACTGTACTTAAGTACAGTTCTCATCTCTGTTCGCCTGGCTGTTGACTATATAAAAAAACTAACGGAGTAACGCACCATGTAGTAACGGTAACTGAGTTACTGAATTTTAAAAGTAATGCGTTAGAGTACTAGTTACTGCCAAAAATAACGGCGTTACAGTAACGCGTTACTTGTAACGCGTTAGTCCCAACACTGGTCTCAACCCTCTGAGTTCCCACACAAACAGTCTGTGGACGGTCTGTTTGACATCCGACTGTACTGGAGCAGTTGGTATTGTGTTCCTGCTGTGATGTACTCTAAGAAAGATACACATAGTAGGCCTATTCATACAATTAATTTAGTATCCGAGGAAAACAGTCAATTTCATAAAAGCAACACTTTTACAATTACAATGTTCTACAGATAGTCTGCTACCTTTTCCCATGTAGCGTAATATTTCAGACTCTTTGTAGCTCAGTAGCATAGATGCTAGGACCGCAAACTTCAATGTAATTATATTTGGCGACTGACCGTACATCAGCCAGAGTATACTGTCTATGAGTATTTCGTGTGTGTTTGCAGACGAAATTCTCCAGCTATGATTATCTATCAGTAATCAACACAGTTAGCTTGTCAGCTAATATGCTAACCTAATATGCAGTTTAACAGCTAGTCTAGGCTTAGCAAGAACATCTTACAATTGCAATATTATACAGTTAGTCTGCAACGTTCGGTCATTCATTGTAGCATGAAAACAATGTTTTTCATAACATCTCTAGGTTAGAGCTTCTAGCTTAGCTTATTAATGGTAGCTCGGTAGAATACACAAACGGCAACTGTAATTACTGACCGTACGGTTAAATCACCCGGAGTATACTGTCTATGAGTATTTCGTGTGTGTTTGCAGACATTCTCCTGCTATGAGATACATGTAAGGCCATGTGCTAACATCCGTGTTGAGGTCTGGGAATGCTAGGTAGCCCTCGTGTTTACCTCGGTAGCATAGCATTAGCATAGCATTTACAGAGTCGTGGTAGATACATTGTTTGTTTTAAACAGAATAAATACACAAACCACAATGAATACTTACAGGTTGTGTACCCGAATCTCCCGCTGGTCCAAACAAAGTAGGAACAGCATCGTCCTCCAATATCAGCTTTACAGCAAGTCCGAAGCTAAACATTTTTAAGTTTTTAAAGCTTTGGTCCGTGAAATGCCGCGCACACACAACAGTACCGGCTGGTAAATCAGCTGGAACAGTGTTAAAAAGGAATGTCAACCACTGACTTCGTCGTGGTTCTGCCTTTGGTACTGCAAACATTGTGGATTTCTCCACACAATACAGGCAACAGACCCTCCGCGACATGACTGGATAGAGCTTTGAAAAGAAGCAGGTTTTACGACACTTAATATGGTCGACTGGCAGAAGAAGTGACGTTGCACGGTGCAGCCACGTCACACGGGGCAGGAAGTAAACAATGGAAACTGAGAAATCTCCAACGAGGCTTTTGGGGGAGGTATTTTCTGTGTTACGGAGCGTCCACACTACAGCTTCAAAAAAAGCTTGGAGCTGGGCGTGTCTGAAGTTTGGGGATTTTATTCAAGCACCGCGACCAACAACCAATCACATGTATCTCCCGCCCCCGACATAGAAAGCAAAAACCCCCGGGGATTTTATGGGAGCAATATATATATAAACTCCCCAAACAGGCGAAAACCTACCAGTTTCACCCACTGTCTCTGCCACCTCCCTCCATGCCTGGTTCCTCCGGTTTGTATCCCGGTAGGTGAAGAGGGTCTGGTCATACAAAACCGGGTGATTTGCTACGGCGATCATTAGTTTCTCCTCCATCTTTTTTGGAAATATAGAAATGAACGGCGGGATATCTCTCCCAGTTTAGACGCGGTTTGATTGGCTACGGCTTGATCTGTCAGATTTTCCGAAACGGGATTTGATTGGCTGGCGCTGGCTACTCCGGCGTCAGAAGTTGAACATTGTTCAACTTCTGACGCCTGAGACGCCGGAGACGGACCGCTCTGCTACCCACAATTCAGTTCGGCGAAAAAAAGCGGCAACGTGACGTCACCCCATTCAAAGTGAATGGGCAGATTGAAGCTGTCGACGCTGCAGATGCTGCAGACGCTGTAGTGTGGACGGGCCGTTAGAGTTTACTCGCTACAGCAGGGGTGGGGAACCTTTTTCCTCTCAAGGGCCATTTCAATTTTTACAACATCCTCCGAGGGCCGTACACATTATTGACCTCTGCTTAAAAGCACTAAAATCACAGCTCATTCATTTGGCCTTTCTTTCATTCTGTGCAAAGAAAAAGCAACCTCTTAATCCAGATATCTTACCATGACTCGCGCATGCATGCACGTGCACGGTTGTGGCATGACCACCACAACAGAAAGATATGGACACAAGATGTGTGCAAATGTATTTAGTTTCCTGTCCATGTCATGGATGTATAATAAGAACTGGATACAGCGTGGGAGGCGGGGCCTCATTCATTCCTATGAGAGTTGCTCATTAGCGCATGATGATAAAATGGCCCAACTTTTGAGAGAGTGAAACGTCACAGATTACCCGGCATGCCTGAGAAGTACCCGTATGTGCGCTCATAGCGCATGCGCAGCTTTAACCAAAATGCTCGTTCACATCAAGCACGTCAATTTGCGTACACGTAACAGCAAGTGCGTTCATGACAGCATGGTAATGGATTGTTATTATGATGGATTTGATATTAACGAGGCGGCAGTTAGCAGCTAGCGGCTAGCTAGTAATGATCTAGTGATATCCAACAGAGCCTCATTTAGCATGAAATTATTACTGCACCGTATACATATATATTTATATACAGTGCAATAAGCTTCCCAGTGCAATACGAAGCTACAGGGACGTTAATAATGTCGGTAATATTAACTCTATTTAATACAACATTTACGGTACAAGATTTAATCATACAGCCCATGTAGTATGACAATGAATTACAGCAAACATGTGCAATATATCCATTATTACAGCTCCGTGGGATGGCAGTAAGACGATATGGATCCGTTGCCATTGTGCATCCATGGGTAAAGATAAACGCAACACACATTGGTTCCTCATACAGCATCTCTGTAAACTACGTGTATTCACTGAATTTCACTCTCTGCCTTTAACGGCTCGTTGTAGCTCCAATAGCTCCAGCCCCACCCTCCCTGTGAGCACAGTGTGCTCTGATTGGTCGGGACACGTAACATGAACGTGCCGGGCGGCGCGGTCCCGTGGATTAGATGCGCGTTCATAATGCAGAGGGAAATAACTCTCAGAATAACGTTATTAGCAAATGTTTACAACTTGAGGAACGGATGTTTTTAATAAGGGCTATACAAGTGTTCATACTGGGTAGTTTATTTAGTTAAAAAAATTATCCAACGAGTTACAGACCACTCTTTCCTACGGAGCCCCCTAGGGGACATGGAGAAGAAAAAAAAAAAAAAAAAATGTTTTGCGAGATAACGCAAAACCTTTGCGAGATCTTGCAATACTTTTGCGAGATCTCGCAAAACCTTTGCGAGATCTCGCAATACTTTTGCGAGATCTCGCAAAATCCCTTTGCGAGATCCCGCTAAAATGTTCGTTTAGCGCAATGTACTTCCGGCCGGTTCAGTTCGGCAACCTACAGTACTCTGGGGAAGCTTGTAACAGATGAAAGAGTCATGGAGGAGGATTTGGAAAGGTTTCTTCGTTCGAGAGAGGTCCCACAAGAGGACATCATGAAAATGCAAAGTGACAAGGTGGGTAGAACATTCAGTCAATTCACGGAATAAGTTACCGTAACAACACAGAGCCTGGAAAAGTCAAACACTTTATAAGTAATATGGAGGTAGCATGGCAGTTTTAATACGAACGTGAGTGACACAGTAAACTGTGTGTTTTTCTCATCATGTACCGTGCAGCTTTAAAAAATCCTTCTGTAAAAATTGTAATGCTGACTTCTGAATTTGATAAGCTCCGTTTGTTTACAAGTTAAGTGTTAGGTAGGGTGACGTTAGTACTGTGTAGTAACTAGCTTGCTACCTAGCAAAAAATGCGTTATTTGTGGTACACATAAGAATGGTTTTTGGTAATGTATTAGCTATTTTATCTTTGCAGGTTGACAAGGCAGTGCTAACCATCATGAATGATGAACAAATGGCAAAGTATATCACTTCATACGGTGACCGAGTAGCTGTCCTCTCCTTCTGTCAACAAACAAAGTGCAGCACAGATAAAGAGACTCTTCTACAGACATTAAGAGATAAAATAGGAGCACGGAAAAGTAAATCAAAAACAAAAGGAGCATTGTGTGGTGCATCAGGTGTGTTTCAAAAAGAAGGTGAAGGGATGTCAAGACAAATAAATAATGCAGCAGAAAAGACTACCAGGAAGATTGAAATAGGATGGCTTCATTTTCACAATAAGGAATACCAACAAGTGAGGACCTGCAATGGCGGGGGAACAAGACATGCATCGGTGGAAAAAACAACAACTGTTGCTCAGATTTTGGAAATGGGAAAGAAGCTATTCTTCCCAAATGGCCACTCAACAAAAGGGCGAGTTGAAGACTTTACCTTTGAAGTCTGTGATTTTAAAAGAAACCAGATCCCTTCAGATGACACTGTTGGCAGACTTTATGAACAAACCAAACTGAAGCTGCTTAGATTTTACATATCCACAAAAGAAGAAGCCCACCCAACAGATCAATCCCCATCTGAGGTAGAAACAGTTAGTGAAGATTCCTTATCTGTAGATTCATCTGTTGACATCACTGAGGGAGCAGACGCACATGGATCTGTTGATGCAGATGAATTGATTACAGATCTGCCGGAGCGTGGATATTCATCTGACAGCGACAATAGCGATCAGGTTTGTGGCAGTAGGAAATATAAAGTAACTTTAATGACAGGGACAGATGGAAAGAGATAGTGCTTGAATATTAAACTTCAGGTAATAACTAAATAAAAAAATGATGTACATGGATTTCATAAAACAGAAAGGTTCCATTGTGTGCCATCAGTCACCACAGTTTGTCAGCAACTTTCTACATAGCTATAGTTATGGTAGGCCTATTTAGCACACACTTTTGTCCAAGGCGTTACCAACATACCTTCACCTCTGTATGTTTCAATTTTTCCAGGACTTTGTTGTTGACATGTGTGGTCAGACGCATTCATTTCTTTGTGTTGCATATTTTTTTGCAATTTCATACTTTTATTTGTAATGCTTTGAAACACATCACTTATCTTAGAGACTCTGAGAGAAGATTGAAGAATATCTCAAAGTTATTGTACAGTACCTTAATGCTTAATAGGCTAATGTGTAGTCGTATGTATTTTTTTGCACACCATTTGATATTAATTGTGAAACATGTTTTTCTCCCTGCCATTATTACAAATTATTACATGGCTTAGTTGAATACTCGATTCTGATTGGTCAATTCAGAACACGTGACACGTTGTTAATACCGAACAGACAGACCGCTGTCAAGGACTTATTGACCGTTGTTAAGGACGCTCACATCTTCAGAAAGAAGTCCGGTCGATTTAACTGTATACCGTTGGGCCGAAAAGCAAACTGCATGCAGTTTGCTTTTCGAACTGGGACATGAAAAACAGCGCAGAAGTAACGGGGCAGAAACCCTCCTTTTTACGCAGCGGTCCAGACATAGACATCAAACTGCAACATTGATTGATTGATTGAAAAGTTTATTAACAGCTTGTATATTGGTTACAGTACAGTACAGCTCAAAACATACAATTGTTAAGGGGATGCAGACCAGAGAAAGACTTTCGTCTTGTTTACATCAGGGTCCCCCATTTCCAATTCATCATGTCATTTAAGACATATAAGACATACAGATGGCTTATTTACAATTTACATACAGGTGGTTTTTTACATACATATTGCTTATTTACAATTTTCATTTTAGATTTCGTTCCAATACATCCTAACCGGACATTTAAGACATACCAAGTCTACAGATATACAGTTAGTAACAGAGTCTAAAATGCGAGTATATACATAGATGGGGGGGGGGGGGAAGCTGTCCATTGAACGACAGGTTGAGATACACATATTCAGTTGCCAGTTACTTTGGCATTAGGGCAGGGATATCTAGATACTTTCCAAGGTTTGACATAATGAATTGTGCTACTTTTAAAGCAAGGAGCGATGTTTTCAAATCTGTAATCAAAAAGCTGCTAAAAAACGCAAGCAGTTCCTACCGTTGGCTTTTCAAACTGACAAGAGACGCTCTAACTGTTTTTCAAATGTAACAGTTTGAAAAGCAAGCTGTCTGATTGTCTTTAGTTTTCCGCTGTCGTGTGATAGCAACATGGAGGATTTTAACATTAATTTGAATATATTTGGAGAGTACAGTAATTTGGAGGAATGGTTAGTGGCTGATGAGTCCCCAGTGAAGAAAAGAAAAAGACAAGAGGGACAAGAAAACAGCGGAGAAGTAACGGGCAGAAACCCTCCTTCACATATTCAGTTGCCAGTTACTTTGGCATTAGGGCAGGGATATCTAGATACTTCCCAAGGTTTGACATCATGAATTGTGCTACTTTTAAAGCAAGCAGCGATGTTTTCAAATCTGTAATCAAAAAGCTCCTCAAAAACGCTGCTGTTGCTACGTTAGTTCAAACGGTAACAACGGACTATTTTTCTTAGCGGATGCATGTCAATTTAAATCAATACAACTATTTTTTAAATCAATAAAATAATTTTCTAAATCCATAAAAGCATTTCAATTAATATTGGGATTCATAATGTTACTTTGTTGAGAATGTGGCCATGTAATAAGCGGGATAATGTGCAGCAACTTGGTTATTATGGGGAAAAGAACACCTTCATGCCGATCTAGATCCCTCCGCTTCGCGTCGGGCTCCTGATCAGCCTGTCGGTGTTCTTTTCCCCATAATGACCGCGTTGCTGCACATTATCCCTTACTTACTGCTGACAACAAAAGTTGTTTTTTGTTGCATTTCCAGATACAACCAAGATCCAAAAAACAAAGATCAACCTCTGACACTGTGACAGCAGAAGGTCCAAGACAATCACATCGCTCCCATTCAACCCCAACAGACGAGGCAGATACACTTTTATGGGATCCGGAAGATGATCTTTGGGGAGCAGGTGGTGATGAGATAGTTGTGATAAAATGTAATGACGTCACACATGAGGATGTCACTCAGGTAATGTGATTAGGAACGTTTTTGGGTAAGGGGGTAGAAATGCAAATATATGTATTAAAACCAAACCAGTAAACACAGAAAAGATTGAGAAATGTATTGCTACTTCAATTCAATCAATTACATACTGTAGTTTTTGTTAGATTTCAATAGTCAGTAAATTCGATTCAATTAATAAAAAAACTCAAATGTGCATTCCTACTTTGAAAAAAATGTACCATGTCCTTTTATTTTTATGTCATGTATTCTGTTCCCCGATTCTTCTTTGGACACACGAATGAAATAACCTACAGTGCTGTGAAACGCTTACTGTACTTAATGAAATATTAGCTCACCCCATGTATATTTAGAGCTTCATTTTGCCATAGCAAATTGGTTAACATTTAATAGTTTATGTTGCTTTAGAACCTTTCACATTTCAACAAACCAAACAAGACCTGATGAAAACCTGTGGAATTCCACAAAGATTTTAATTTTGCACTCATAAGCCATACATGGTGGCATGCACAACTTCACAATTCTCCTTTTTTACGATAATTTCTATATCAAACTACCATTTGTTGTGTATAGTGGTATAGCAAAGTCATGCACAACTTGTATTAAAATAAATGGTGTTATTTAGCAAGCTGCAGTAGAAGTGGAAAGCAACAGAGTCCTTTTGACTTGTGATTGTGCAGTAGTTTTTATAAACACTGATTTGTGACTTTATTATACTCTGTCTCTGAAATTGAAGGTTTGTCTTTTTCCATTTCTTTTTTCCAAGTGTAATTTTTACAGAGTATTTCTGGTTTTAAATAGAAGATGATGTTGAAGACTATTACGGAAATACTTTTGTAAATTACGGTCTGCAATAACGTCTAAGACTTCAAAGTGTCTGCTGTCAATTAATAACATACTTAATTCATCCTTCAGAGTGCGGAGATGAATGGAGTACCAATGCAGGATTTACAACTCCCCTTGTCCTCTGATTTTGGCCTGCCTTCGGCACATGTGTCCATACATGAGGATACAGTGCAAACATCACAGGTAAGATGCATCACTGCAAGAAACCCTGAACACATCCTTTAAACTACCGCTCTTGTAACATTTCACATAACTGTGGCCTGTAAAACATTTGTATACTGTCCTGAGAGCTCTGGAGGAGCTCGGTCAGGTATAAAATAAGTAACTTTGATGATGTCATACTGAAGTTGTCAGTGTTACCTCGGCTTTGAATTGAAGACAACAAATCGAAAGTCTGTGTTACAAACTGGAGGTGTGGTGGAGTTGGAAAAAAGGTCTTGTAAAAAATAGCTTTTGAGTTGCATTATGGGAAAAACATAGAATCCAATATTATATGGACCTTGATTCATACTCAACATTTAAACAATTAGGACATTTTGGCCTCTGCTTCATTCATTGACCAATCTTGTTGTGTGTGTTTGTATGTTTCGTTCTTCTACTACAGGATTTGCTTTTAAATTCGAGCAGCCAACTATCCCCATCAACCTCAGCTCACGGCTCAGGAAATCCAGAGAGCACGCAACGTGCATCAATTCACAGGACAAAGGTTGTTGAAGATCTTTTGGCTGTATTTATGGACAGTAGCATAATACATTTGACTCTAAAGATGGACTTTGTAAATGAAAAAGCTATTGATGATAATGGAGTATCAAGGGAGGTTTACACTGCATTCTGGGAGCAATTTCTTGAAACGTGTGAAGGGGAAGCAGAGCGAGTTCCAAGGCTGAGGCCAGATTTCTGTGAGGCTGAATGGCAAGCAGTTGGACGGATCTGGGTGAAAGGATTACTGGACCATGGTGTCATGCCAGTGAGGCTATCAAAGGCTTTCATTGTAGCCTGCATTCATGGAGTCCACTCCGTTGATGTAGACATCCTGATGACATCGTTTCTCAACTACCTCTCTCCTGTTGAGAGATCAGCTGTGGAGAAGGCTCTCCAGGGCACAATGGAGGAGAGTGATGAAGAGGACTTGCTCGACCTTTTCACAAGGATGGGTTCCCATTTCCTACCTGCAAAGAACAACATGGAGCCTGCCATAGAAACAATGGCTCATAAAGCCATTCTCCAAGAGCCAAAGTATATCGTTGATTGCTTCTTGACACCCATGTCACTTGTACAGTTGCAACTGCCAGACAAGGACAGTGTGTTGTCTCTGTATGAGAAGAAGAAAGCCACAGGCAGAAGAGTGTCCCAACTGTTTGAAACAACCAACGTGGTGTTGTCTCAGAGAGAACAGACAACTTTCAACCATCTCCAACGATATGTGAAAAATGCTGACCAAGCCAAAGCTGAACAAATCCTGCGTTTCTGCACTGGTTCTTCTGTCATATGTGTTGACAGAATTGGGGTGTGCTTTAATGCTGAAACTGGGCTCAGCAGAAGGCCTGTTGCTCATACCTGTGGAGCTACCCTTGAAATACCGTGTACCTACAGCTCTTTCCCTGAATTTCGCACGGAATTTGACAATATCCTGTCCAGCAACTACTTTGAAATGGATATTCTTTGAACTTGAGAGCAGTCGTTATCAGGCCTAATAGTAACAGTTTGGAATATTATTTTGATTTGATATTTTTGTTGTTTGTTTTGTCATTGAAACAACTGATGCACTGAACCGTGTAATGAGCAGTCTGCAATTCTATTTTCTGCTTTAACAAGGATATTACCTTTTTTTTTAATACGCTTTGAGAATGACTGCAGTTTTTATTTTCGTCAGTTTGATCCTAACCCAGTTTAGAGGCTGAGATTAATATTGTGTGTTTTTTTTTGCAACTAAGAAAGCTAAACGGTGTTGTCCGTCACTGGTCGAATTGTTGATGTTATGGTGTTAAAGAGTCAGTCCTTTTTGATAACTCTCAGAAAAACAATGTTTGAAATTGAATGTGGAAAATAGTTCTGTTAGATCCTGTTCGCAAAAAGCCGATGTTGAAAATGTGAAATGTGGCCTGAAAAGACTAGCCTCTAATTACAAGCCCTAATATGCACAATTGGCCGTGATATATACATGATATTACCAACATATCACTTTCATTTACTGCCAACTTAACATGGTACCGAATTATAACTCAATGCTATTTTTTTAAGAAACAGAAATCGTGTGCATATGAAGTGACTTATACATAATGTGCAATGTTTTATTTCTCAATTGGTCTTAATACATTGACAAACCAAACTGATTAGGCACATTTTAAATGTAATCAGGGTTGCAGGCCAGGATTTCACACTAGATAACAATACAACATTATTATTAATATTTCCACACTGTTAAAAGATCAGCTTGTGCTGTTATTTTCTACCCCTTTCTGACATTAAAGTGCTTGGCTACACAGGCATCACTGTATTTTCTGTAAATTACATGTAACTTGATGTTCGTACTACTTGGTTCTAGCATTAGTAAAGTCCTATACATTTTCACACAGACTATTTTTGTTTCACAGTTCGAAAACACATCAGAATCAGAATACCTTTATTAGTTCAACAGAGGGGACATTTACATTGTTACAGCAGAAAAGAGCCAAAGACAGCTTAATGTTACCTAAGAAGCATGCATACAAAAGTATTAAAGATAAACAAATTATAATTTAAAAAAGTTAGACAATTTACAAAATACACACCCTGTAACAGTTCTGAGGATTTAGCAGCCAGGTATATATTGCACAGTTATTAACGGCATATATATATATATATATTGCACAGTTATTAACGGCATATATATATTAGGGCCGGGACTTTAACGCGTTAATTAAGATTAATTAATTACACAAAAATTAACGCGTTAAAAAAATTAACGCATTTTAATCGCACTTATTTTTGCACCGCGGAACGTTTCTCACTGGATGAGTTTCAGGCGTACCGATTATACTGGAGCACCAACTAACGTTCATGACTTCAGACAACAACAAACCACAGTGAACAACAGTGGGAAATGTTGTTTTAAAAAACGGACGGATGGAAGCGTCGATAAGAGCACGGTTGTGTGCAAATTATGCAAAAAGCAATTCGCATATCACCGCAGCACATCAAGCCTCAAGTATCACCTCAATGCAAAACATATAGCAGCTAGCGTGGAAGCTAGCGTGGACGTTAGCCTCTTTTATCGCGTTCACACCAAAAAGAGCCGGTACTAAAATTAGTTCATGAGAACCTTTTTACCCTCACGAAAGTCCCTGCTAGAGAGCAGGGACTTTCGTACGGCTCTCTTGTGAGAAAAGAGCTATATTTCTGATTGGCTGGGCGGATTGCAAACCACGCCCCGTAAAACTCGCAAAAAGTTTTGTGAAGCCGCCATTTTATTATCCTCGCATTAGCATTATTAGCATTAGCCCAGCGCAGAAACGCAGAGAGACTAATTTATGGCAACACAAAATAAAACATGGGAGCGGTGGAGATGAGGAGGTGTCGGCGTTCTGGCGATTTACTCGGAAGGCTTCAGTAGAAGCTGCTGGGACTAAGCCAGTCCCCGGAGTTGGGGACTGGCTTCAGTAGAAGCTGCTGGGACTCCCAGCAGCTTCTACTGAAGCCAGTCCCTAACTCCGGGAACTTCTGGCCGGGGACTTTGGGCGGCAGTATACGCCGTGAAGTGGTTTGCGGCCTGCCAGTAAACCCAAAGCAGAAGAAGAAGAAGTGACGTCAGCGGCTTCATTTGCCTAATCCACCCCCAGGTTCAAAGAGTTCTCATGAACTAAATTCTCATGAACCTTTGTGGGAAAAGTACTGCGGTGTGAATGCGCCTAATGGTATACTAAAATCCATGTGAAAAAAATTGCTTCTCACTGTTCTTAGGTCAAATATTTATATGTGATTAAAAATGCGATTAATTTCGATTAATTAATTACAAAGCCTCTAATTAATTAGATTAATTGTTTTAATCGAGTCCCGGCCCTAATATATATATATATATATATATATATATATATATATATTGCACATAGTTGGTTGGTATTTAACAACAGGGGGTGTTATAGTCTGTGTGATTATGTGTGGGGCGGTCTAGGGGCTGTGCTGGTTATATAGTCTGACCGCTGCTCTCTCTCCGAGAGCCGGTCACTGAAGGAGCTGCACAGTGAGGACAGGGTCATGCCATCACATGTATATAAAAGGGGGGAGTGATGTTGACGAGGCAGTATTTGAGTCATCTTACAGTTCATAACACCTTAACAGGACTGGTGTCTCCAGAATCTAAAATATTCAACAGCTTAGACTTTACTGACATATTCTAAATAATTAGTCAACTTAAAGATTACATTTCAAATTAATTATATGAACTATGCACACACATGACCTAAGTTCATCAAGCAAATGCAGTGAGTAGTATTACTACTTTGTGAAAGAAACTACAGGCATAAGAGCTATATACTCCCAGAAACAAACAAGCAGTGCGGTGATGGTGAGTTCCAATGTCACGGTGTATATGTTTGTAAAAGGAAATATGGACATTTAATTGTGTACAAAATGCAGTTGGGACAAGGAGGTGCACTGCAGGGGAGTGTCCATCCTGTAAGTGGGGGAGGCGCACTGCAGGTGAGTGAATTTTGTACTGATTTAGAGAGATGCACTGATGGCCTCTCTTAGGTGCATATACAAGTTCACAGCCTGATATGGGTCTGTTGGTGGAGTCCGATGGGACTCGCCCATAAAGATGTGGCATAGTTCGTACACATCTGGATCACATGGTATGGCCAGCCAAAAGACACATTCATTTTTGCACAGTTGAACGTGTTCGTCTTCAACAGGGGAAAGGTAGTCTCTTGTCCGGTAAAGGTCAGGCACAGCATACATCACATTTGGCCGACCGCTGGGGACGTTGAGGTTTCTCGACGGCCTGATGGTGTGCGCATTCCAAACCTGTGCAGTGTCATCCAACTCATCCTGTCAAAAATAATGTATTAATACATTTAGTAAGAACTGTACATATGCATCAACTTAAATAGAGAACAACATTATGGCATTCACACATAACCACAAACCCCGCCCTCTGTCTGTGTCCTTCACACTCTCCTCTCTGTCTCCTTCACACTCTCCTCTCTTTCTGTCTCTTACTTTTTCTCTCCTCTCTCCATCTGAACTCACACGCACAGCGCATACACACAATGTATTAACTCACCTGGATGAGTCCCATGCAACAACATTGAAGGAGGCTTTTGTCCAGAAATCCACCATTAAAATGCCCGTTGTCTCTGAGGTCTCCAAAGAAGCACAACCAAAACTCTGCGCACTCTCTGCGAAGAAAACCCCACCAATATTCGATTCGTTGATTGGCGGTGCTGGCTCCCTCCAAGTAGCTTTCATGGTTGCCATCTGGGCGAGTAGGTACGAGGAAACGCTGAATGCCTCGAACATAGCCATTTTCTGTTCCAAGATCGCCCCTCACCAGTCTAGGGCAGCCCCCTAAACGCTGCACTGCTTCCATGTAATATCCCCCAATCAACTTTGGGTCACTACTTGTTGTGTAGGCATTAAGCCAGATCATTTTTCTTGAATACCCATCGATACATCCATTTATACAAATGCCATATGGCTTCAGTTTATCATAGGAATCCAGGTGCCAGATGAAGTTTGGCCCTTTGGAGAAGTAACGCCTTCGTCTGAGTCGTCCTGCTTGCCTTAATGCCACTCCTCCGGGATCCAGCTCCTTCAGTACCAAGCGCACATCCTCCTTCCTCACACGCAGTCCATGCACTCTGCATTTTGCGTACATCCAGCGGTACCCATGAAGCTGCCCAGAGTACTGTAACTGGTTGCGAATGAAATCCACCAGGACCGCAAGCTCAGAGTATGCATGTTGACGTGAATGTCCCCTCGCTCTGAGTATCCTCTTGAGGTGTCTTTCACTTATGATAAACCTGTGCCTATTGCCAAGCACTGATGTTATGTCTTTATATTTTAGGCCAAGCTCAAAGTAAAAATCGATTAACTGCTCCATTGTTGTGGTTTCTGTGTCGCTGAACTGACCCGGAAGTACATTGACCTAAATGAAAAGTATTGCGAGATCTCGCAAAAGTATTGCGATATCTCGCAAAACATTTTTTTTTTTTTTAGAATTTTTTTTTTTCTTCTCCATGTCCCCTAAGGGGCTCCGTACTTTCCCCATGTAAGTCAATGGAAAAAATTGTTTCCGGGCCTGGCAACCAAACGGAAGTGTAGTACCGCCGTTTGGCCAGCACGAATATTTTCATCTGAGTCCGGCGCACTTCCTGGGGGCTTGACTACCGCCGCCTGCTGGTAAGGAAAGTTATTGCCACTCACGCATGCGCAGTTTGTACGTGCTCGGCGAGTAGAGTAACGAGTAAAGTAACGAGTTACTTTATGTAGATAGTAACGAAGTAGTGTAATATATTACATTTTTAAAGTAATACATTTATAATTTATAATTTGTAGTTCAGGACCATGGACAATGCAGCTTCCTTGCATTGACAGTTGTCTGTGCTGAATTTCTGCTGAGTTTCCTTTGCCTCATTTTCTATGTTGTGACCTGTCTGGTGTAAATGAGTGTGTTGCTGCTTTGATGAAGCCTAATTTGATAAAGTTTCAAATTAATTTCGGAAATATTTCGTAATATAGTTGTCTTTGTCACATTTTATTTGGCATTAGTAAATAATTATGCACATTTACAAATACTTTACATGATATGAGTGATAACACGTGTTATAAGGGCTATTTTTTTTTAC